GTTACGCACTGATTTTTTTTATTAGAAAGTACAATGTAGTGTGCTATAGGCAATGACTTGTTTCAATTTCAGTTTCACACTACATGAAAGCGATGTCCTGGTGAAAATCCAGTTTAATTATTGACTCAATCAGTGCTGAAATTGAAACAAGTCATTGCCTATAGCACACTACATTGTACATTCAAATAAAAAAAAAAAACTGTGTAACAGTTTTTAATGCTAAAAATTTTATATAGCACAATCGAACTAAAAAGCAATGATAATGCAATATCCGCATTTTTTTTAAAACTTTCGTCATTAAAAACTGTTACACACTGTTTTTTTATTAGAAAGTACAATGTAGTGTGCTATTGGCAATGACTTGTTTCAATTTCAGTACTTTTTGAGTCAATAATTAAACTGGATTTTCACCAGGACGTCGCCATTAGGGAAATCACAATCACAACAGAATAGCATCGAGCCCTGAATCCATTTGACTGGGCTTTGATTCTGATTGCCTGTTGATTAGTGGAATGAGGTGTGGAGATTTCTCTTAATTAATTTGTCACCCAGTGATTATGATCAATGATCCCAGGATGACACATGTAGAAGACTGAATATAGTATACTAACAAGCCAAATGGCCTGAAAATCCACACAAAAAATGGCTCTGTTCCAAACCCTAGTATGATGTGTGTCTAGTGTCAGATTGTCAGACATCTTTATGTTATTATCAGGGTATCTATATATATTAAATAAATGCTATGAAGGATCCAGTATTTATTCAATGTGTATTTATGTCTTACAAAATGCCCACAATTTGTGTTCAGTGTGATGCAAGAAGGAAGGTTGCTATTTTAAAAAATATAATCTATATTTGTAGAAAATATTTCTGATCAATCCCTATTACTACAAGTTTTGCTACTAAACAAGAAAAAACTATGTGGAAAGAAACTATAACTATCCACTTTAAAAAAAAATGAAAGAAAGTTCAACAAAAAGGTGAAGTGAAGGAGACAGAAGCTATGAGGTGTATAACTGAATTATTTTCAGATGAGTGTATTTAATCTTGGAAAAGAGCTGCTGTTTCTGAGAGTTAGAACAAGATGGTCACTGTTCATCCTTAATGCAAACTAGCTCATAGAGTCCACACTTCAACTATACTCACAGTGCATGAGTGGAGCTATAGTGCTATTGCATATGTTCTTCTTCTTCAATACCATTTGCAAGACATGACTGTTATTGGGCCAGTTATAGAGGATAATGACTTACTGTACTGGTGCTTCCCAGTGCAATGCATCATAAATGAAGAGCTATGTGTGGTCCTGTTTGGTAATCTTTTCATCCGAAATAACAAACGCTCACATCTGTTAGTATTATTTAAGCCCCACTTGTTGTGAATCCATCACTGCAGCGTTGATGCTGCACAACTGAGATACAAGTGCTTTTTTTATTGTTGTGGTATGCGATTAGGTTTTATGACATCTTTGAGTTCGGACATAAATCGTTCTGGTTCACTCGAGTATCAAAGTTATTTTACAAGCGGCCATAGCAACAGATACAGCACTTAATCTTCTGTCAGCAGGAGTTCCTCCATGATCAATTATTTATGAAATTACTGCACAGTAACAGAGGCTTTCAAAAGCTTCAACAGTTGATAGAAAGTCACAGGAGAAAGACATACTTTTACTATCTCTGCATTTTGTAGTAGCCTATGTGTAATGTACTGATCAGACAGAGCTGCCAACTCTCACGCATTGACCGTGAGACTACCACAATTGACCGTTTTCACACGCCTTCATGCCACACGTCCATTTTCTCCACTCTAAAAAAATGCTGTTTTTTTTTTTTAACCCAATTTTGGGTCAAATATGGACAAACTCAAACATTGGGTTAAAAATTTCATTTAAAAATGTAACCCAATGGCTGGGTTTGTCCATATTTGACCCAAAATTGGGTTAAAACAACCCAGCATTTTTTAGAGTGAAGCAGTAAAGAGGACACTGACACCGACAGACTAGATAAAGAAGGTTACTTTTGATATGGAAAGTCACAAGCTCTCAGATTCTGACAATAAATACTGTTTTGGCACTTTTAAATATGACAGATCGCTGTAGCACCTCACTAAATAAACATGAATGATCAATAGGTGTGTGTTGAAAGATACAGTAACTTATCTGCCTCATACATTTTGTTATATTGATTTTTCACAGATGGAAAAAGGTCAATAAAATAGACTACAATGTCACATAACGTTACATTTACCTCAGGAAAAGCATTTAATGACCATACCACATAAGTTGGCGAGAAAAATATACTATTATAATATATTTAGATTTAGTATTAACATAAATGAGCAGGTATATTTTGCGAAATATGTGCACTATATTTTTTATTTTGTTTTACTTATATCATTAAAATATTATAAAGTTGTAATAAAGCCTGCATTAGCCCATATGTCTAATTTGAGTTATTTTTAACCTTAAATAATACCAGCTGAGAGGGCTCTCTGTCTATGTTTACAGCATTAGGGACGATTTTCTATTTTGAGATTTTTCTGTGGCCAATACTGTATGTATATCGATCCCAATTGAAAAAAATTTCTATCAAGCAATAATAAAAGCAGTAGCCTATAGCCTACCAATTATAGACACCATGCTGTCACTGAACTTAATCAATGTTTAGTTAGGCTGTCAAATGTTTTAACAACCACAATAGCCTACACTAATGATGGTGTATCCAAAAAGTGTAAAAACTGTTACAAAGTATATTCATATTCCACACTTCAATGCAGTGAACTTCTGTGGGGCAAGCAGGGCGAGGCCTAGAGCTGTGGGAACGGAGTCCTTTTTCTGTTCCACACCGGTCTCAAGTCTCACGGAACGAGATTTATATTGTGTTTATATGTTTATATGCGTTCAAGCAAAATGTTTGTCTCTCTGTCCGTCTGTCTAGCCTGTTTGTCTACAGTAAATAGATAGACAGACACACATTTGCACAAATTTTCACATTTTCCAGTGCAGTAATACTCCATTCCGAACATGTCAGTCTTTGTCTCACGTATTTATTTTCAAAGGTACTATTGTAATTAACACCTGCCCTCAATTCCTCATTAAGCCCACCATTAGGAGTGAGTCTGTGGGTAATTGCTGTGATGATCTTACCCCTCTTTGGCATTTAGGAGGGTGAAGAACATGACTGCCTGTCCCCAGTGATTCATATGAACTGAGACGGACTCAAATGTTACCTGCTATCCCATACATTTTGCACTGCCTTGCAGGGTATATCCCTTAAGGGATACTTCACTTTTTTTTTTGGAAATAGGCTCATTTTACAACTCCCTCAGAGTTAAACAGTTGAGTTTTACCGTTTTCGAATCCATTCAGCCGATTTTCTGATAGAAGAATATCAGTAACCAGACCTGGTCTCATTGACTTCCAAAGTAGGAAAAAAATATACTATGGATGCCAATGAGACCAGAAACTGGTTACTGATAATTCGGCTGAATACATTCGAAAACGGTAAAACCCAACTTTTTAACTCTGGGGGAGTTGTAAAATGAGCCTATTTCCAAAAAAAGTGGAGTATCCCTTTAAAATATTCTGTGGAAAGGGTGAATAAAAGCTTGGAAACTCTAGTTAACTTGGATGTTAAAATACTTTCTCATGTCTCAGGATAAGAGGCAGAGACAACTGTACGGCTATTTGGAAATACTTCGCTTTGTCTGAGCATCCCTAAGAAAATCCTGTTCAGTTAATGATGTGAGTTTGAGCCAGAATGATCTGTTTGAACAATTGTAGATGGGTCTCTTATGTTCTTACAGAGACTTTTTAAAATGCGACTGCAGATTACAGTACCTGTCAAAAATATCAAACCATGACGCATTAAACCTTGGAAAATGTAGTTCTTGGTAATTATTGTGACAGATGTTCATGCACAACATAATTTACCCTAGTACATGTTCTTGAATCAACATCTTTTGTTGGTCCTAAACTATTTCCATACAGTCATAGTAGGCCCTAACCTTATCACTGAAGCAGAGGAAAATGAATGTTGTTAAATACCCCGAGATTAATGCAGCCTGCAAATCCTCCTGGGATGCTCTTACTTGACAGTTGAGAAGTTGCAATTATGAAGTGATCTAGTGATTTTGGTTGAAAAAAAACAACAACATGAGAAACGTGTTATACATTTCATGTATTAAACAAGCTTTTTTAGTGCTTGTGCAACATAATGAAGAGCAAATTATGTAGGGGCCTTGTTCATAAAATACAACTTGTACAAGGAAAATGAATCTTGTCAATTCTAAATCCAGAAATTCATGAAAATATATTTTTAATATCTGACTTATTACAAAAAAATGACAAGCATAAATTTTGTGTCCTTATAGGCAAACTGATTATGCTGCTTCTTGATTATTAATACTCTATTTACCATAATATATAACTACAAAATGTATAAAAACATAATTAATTAGATGTCATTTATTTAAATGTGAAATAAATGTTAATGATGAATGAAAAAAAATGATTGAAAACACTTTTTAATCATATGGGAAGACCTTTTTTGGGAAGGTCCACTTTACATGCACATTACTCTTAATTTATTCATCATATACTGTATTAAAGGTTCATGAATAATGCCCTAGGTGTGCAAGTTATGCTTTATCTCCATATTGAATTATTCTCATGCAGCAATTGCATACATTGTCCTGTTTTTCCCTACAAAATTCATGCAACCTCAATTATACATTCAGCATTCTTAAAACTAAAAATGAAATGCCTTTTGCAGTGATTCAAAAACTAAAATGCTCCCAATCAGGGCAGGAAATCCCAGATTGTACTGCTTGGGAAACACTAGATCCTCTTGTGCTTTACTTCCATTCTTCAGCCCTTGGAGTGAGTTTCTTATTGCAAATTAAAGAGTCAGACTCTCAGGTGCTTTTGCATTTGCAGGAAAAACCAAAGCTCAGCCACACAAGGGCATCCCATTCAGCTGAGTTCTTCTATCTTGTATTTGCAGTGGTTTATGTCTGCTGCAAGTGGGAGATATTTCGCAAGCTGATGGTGGAGTTCTGGAGACTGGGTCATCCTCTGGAGGAGTATGCTTTCTTCTTCATCGATTTGTTTGGAAAAAGTCTGCAGAGCCAGCCTGCTAAACCATGGGCACATGGAGATGCTGATGACAATGCAGCCATGGAGGCATTTAAAGTGAGTTTCATGTAAATGTGCTGATGTGAATAGTAATAATACACAGACAGGGTTAACCTAACCTGTGACAGGCCCCATGACAAATAAAAGTGATAGGGATGCACCGATATGAACATTTTGGCCGATACCGATAATTCTTATTTAAAAGCCAATAACCGATATATCGGCCGATAAATCTAAATCCAATTTTTATATAATTTTTTAAAGCCTGACTGCAAAAAATAAAAGTCTCCCAATTAAAATCCGTCGCCTAACAAAATTGTAATGTTCTCATTATAATTTCATGTAGCCGATATGACAGCACATTTTGCACTTAACTATATTTTCCTTTTTGATTCCAATCATATTTCAAGCAATTAAGATCAATCACGTTGAATAGTGCGCATCTTAAGTGTCTCAGGTGTCAAGTGTTGAAGGAAATAATTCAATATTTATTAGCTTTAATATATCAGCCAAATTTTATTATCGGGCTGATAACGATAACATAAAAATGAGCAAATATCGGCCGATACCGATATGGTGGCCGATATTTCGTGCACCCCTAAAAAGTGATAAATCATAAATAATTGTAATATTATTTTTTAAGATACATATTTTACATGCATTTTCATGTAATCGAAATAGGAAATGCCAAACCATGAAAATGAGACACTCCCCACAGATTTCAAAAGGGAAATGCATAGGCAAATTCACTGTGAATTGTGCAGGTTTTTGTTGATGTGTGATTAGCAGCCAGCTGCAGCTGTGTTTCCTCTTTTCAGATAGGATCAGACAGAGAGACACACTGAGGAATGTGCTGCTTCTCTCTAATTCTTAGAGAAATATAACTGGATTTTTGAAATATGTGGAAATATGACAGCTATAGAGGTGCTAGTGAAGGCTGTCGCATGGCTTCATGTCTTCATGTGCCAACACTGACTGCCAACATGACACCCCCTACTGTGCCTGAAAATGAACTTTCTAAATGTTTATTTAGGCTGAAATGAAATGTCACATATTTTTCGTAATCCTCTTTTTTTTTAAGAAAAAAACATTTTGGAGTATTTTGAGTTGAAGCTGCTGTCCGTAGCTTTTTTTTAGGTTAAAAATTATCCAAAATACACATTTGAGAGAATACATAACCAGCCAGTGTTCAAAACTCTGCTTGCCTTACCCCGATTCAAAGCGGTAAGCTTGTAATAATGTTTTTAATTCCAGTGGTACTGGTGGATTTCCGCGGGAGATTCGATTGTCTTTGCGTCATTATGTCAGATAGATAGATAGATAGATAGATAGATAGATAGATAGATAGATAGATAGATAGATAGATAGATAGATAGATAGATAGATAGATAGATAGATAGAGATAGATAGATAGATAGATAGATAGATAGATAGATAGATAGATAGATAGATAGATAGATAGACTTTAATTGTCATTGTACAGTTGTACCATACAACGCAATTTGCTTGTGCAACCTCTAAAACAACACTCACTTTTGTACACATAAAGAAAAGTCACGGTCATTACGTCACATCTGTACACATAAAGAAGCGTCTCGGCTATAAAGCTATTTTGTGTGTGAGGATGCTAGATGTGGAGATTTATAGCCTTTTCTCTCAGCACTTGATATAAATTAAATTAATTTATTAATTAATGTAGCTTGATAAAGAGAGGTGCGTTTATAGTTTTATTAGCAAACTAACGACTTTCATCTGATGGGCAATAATATGAGCGAAAAATCCTGAAAAATGTATCTGCTCCAAAACTGGCTTTAAACCGAATATGAATGTGATGTGTTTGGCAGAACTCAATGAAACTGCATTATAATGAGTTCTCACACAGACTATGCGAGGGTCTATTTACATGCGTTGGCATTAACTAACAGCTGTGGTGAGCTGACATTCATTTATTCACAGAAAGGAATCATTTCATTATGCTCATGATACAGCTAACAGTTGGTATGACAATGATTTCATCAACTGTTTACATCAGAGGTGATTGTCCTGTTTGGCAAAGACACTCCTGCAGTGCAAAGACATGCTCATCAAGCAGTTGGTCAAAGCCATGACAAAGTGTTAAATCCTAATTTGTCATCTAAAACTAGAGTCTGTTGAGACTGACACTATTGCTTTGAAGTCAAAAATGAAATCTAGTTAAATGAAATCAAAATTTCTTATTACAATTTTTTTTTTAAAGGGACAATATACATTGATCAACATTCAGAACAAATGTAAGTGCACCCGAGTTAGCCACAGGCTAGTTTTCATCTGCAGTCCCCTTGCCAGATGTTATTGGGCATCCTAAAATAATAAATTGTTACAATGCAATACAATTCTTTATACAATGAACAAAAAGTTAACTGTGTTAAAATCACAAATAATCAAGTAAACATGGTGAGCAGATAAATTAAAATAAAAAATAGATGATAATAGAAGATACAGTTATTTTCTCCTGAATGGGATCGGATATTGAAGCATGGTCAAAATGCTTCCCAATGCGTCTTGGGATGAGAATGGGCTGGTAATTTATACTGTAACATTAATTTGCAGTTTGTTTGAAAAAAACCTGTTCACCCAAAGGAACACTCGACGAGGTGCTATTAGTAGACATCCTGTCATAGCTTTTTGGTACATAATGGCTAACATAGATATAGAGCGAGGCACTGGGGAGCATAGTTCATTTGAATGCAAAATACAATTTCACAGCTAGATGGGAGAAATTCCTACACATTGTCCCTTTTATGCTGATTGATTAAGTTAATTGGATTAGTTGAAAAGTTCTGAAAATGAAAATGTTCTGTTTGGCCATGTGTGTGATCAAAATCTTTAAAATGTGCCTTTGTGTTGAATACCCACAGAGCGTGAAAATCCTGACTTACAGAGAGCCTCAAAACCCTGAGTACAAAGACTTTGTTTCCAGACTGAAGACAGATGCCATGGACATGTTTAACTTCAGCGTGGAAGATTCTCTGGTAAGATATTTCAGTGGCAACTGTGCAGATCATGCGTTTTTGTTATAATGCGCTACTCCACACATGATTTAACTTATTTTTACGATCAGCGCAATGCATGATGGTATGTAGGGCTTAGGTTAGTGACCATCGGTTGTACACTACTTTTCAAAATGCATTCTGGGATACATTGAGTGGACTATATAGGGTATAATAATCATCACTATACATTCGGACAGCACTACAAAATGGGGAGCTCACTATATAGTCCACTATATAGTGAGTAATGGGTGATTTCGGACACAGCAAAAGTTTCAAAGCAGCTTTAAAGAAAATCATGCTGTTAATTTTTTTAGTATCTTAATATCCTCTTGCCTTAACAAATGCAGTTGGCATTTGTTATATAGGCTAGTATATAACGCCCTGTAAGTGTACTGTATGTAGCCTGTGGGGAAAAAGTTGGACATATTTAACTTTTGGACATATTTAACTTTTTAAATATAAATATAAAATATAAATTTATATTTATATATTGTAATTTTAACTTTTTATGTTTCTTTTAAATTATTACTACTGTTTGCACTTCTGGTCAGATGCTAACTATGTTTTGTTGGCTTTGTAAGAGTTGGGCAATAATATAGTTACATTTCGTGAAGAAATAAAAAAACTGCTCATTTTGCAATTGCAAGATGGACTGAGGGCACTGTGGGAATGAGACGGGGTTATTTATTGATATCTGGTTTTGTATGCTAAAGTTACACAGCAGTGCAATGAATTTGCCACCCTTTTGTGTTTTACTTAGTGGCAAAATACACTCTCACAGAAAATTTTAAACATCTAACCATAACACAAGCTTAATGGAAAGGGACATTTATATTTGGGTTCTTCAAAGGAAATTGGCCCCCCGAAATAGACTGAGATGGTTGGTTTTAGTCAGAGACGATTGAAGCTGCATGTCTGCTTGTTTGTGCTCCGACAATAAATGTCACCTGCCACACGCCCAGGAAAAAACTCAGATGCATGTGTGCGGGATGAGTAACCTTTCACTGACAGTGGGGAAGTGTGGTAATTACCCTTAGCTGCAGGTCTCCTGTGAGTCTGTCACCACAGAGGAGTCTGTTAGCTCGAGATCAGCTCAAGGCCAAAGATAAGCCTCCTGTCTACCCTTTGAATCTTAGCTACAAGATTTTGAGTGTTTTATACAACACACTTACTAATGACCTTCTTGAAGAATGGATTCTGATTTGATCTTTTCAGTTTAAGCTTTGATAATAATGATACCTGCCAGTTTGATAATCTGCTATGTCATGTTTATGACATATTTATGACAGGTTGTGTTGTCTTGGTTATGTCAACAAGTTGCTGTGGAGAAAAATCCTTAAACGTTTTCCTCAAAAACATTCAATTTCTTTTCCACTTAAGAAAGAAAGATATGAACGTTTTGGATGGCATTGGGGTGAGTAAATTATCATGAAATGTTATCCTTTAAAGGGATAGTTCACTTTGAAATTAATTTTTGATATGTTTTAGCTTACCTCAAGGGCATCCAAGATGTAGGTGTCTTTGTTTCCACAGTATTTTCAATTTTGACATTTTTTGGTCAAACCGTTGTTGTCTGTCAGTCATACACTGGAGGTGAAGGGGGTCCTTCCATGCATGCACAGAGAAGTCCAAATTAAACATGATTTAATGACTCGTACATGTAAGTACACATTGATGGCCTAAGACACGAAACGAGCGGTTTGTGTGAGAAAACGAACAGTATTTATATCGTTTTACCTCTTGTAATCATAGCCATGACCAAATGATCTGACGGTACGGGAGCTTCGGTCTGCGCATGTGCCGGAAGTGATCGCTTGCGCGTCTACGTCACTCTTTGTTTATACAGAGATTTCCGAAGTTTTACCTTTCACTAAACATATTTAGATATACGGGAAACCGCAATGGAAGACGATTTCGGTATATCTAAATATGTTTAGTAAAAGGTAAAACTTCCGAAATCTCCGTGTAAATATTGAGTGACGTCACACGCAAGCGGTCACTTCCGGCGTAACATTGAACTGATTTAGTTTGGTTCAGTTGGACATTGCACAACTGATTCAGATCACTGTGATTACACGAGGTAAAAACGATATAAATACTGTTCGTTTTCTCACAAAAACCGCTCGTTTCGTGTCTTAGGCCATCAATGTGTACTTACATTTACGAGTCATTAAATCATGTTTAATTTGGACTTCTCTGTGCATGCTTTTTGGTGGACCCCCTTTAGCCTCCAGTGTATGACTGATAGACAACGGTTTGACTGAAAAATGTCAAAATTGAAAATACTGTGGAAACAAAGACACCTACATCTTGGATGCCCTTGAGGTAAGATAAAACATTTCAAAAATTAATTTCAAAGTGAACTATCCCTTTAAGTTACACTGCAAACCGTAAATGCTAAAAAAAATCCCGTTTTCCGGTTCGAACGCTGGGCGCTCAGCATAACCCCTATTAGTGAGCTGCCACTGCTGCTTAAAAACATAGCCAAGACTTAATAGAAAGCCTGGAAATTGTTGCAGCTGTGTTTTCATAGATAACTATTTGATGAGATATGCTATACGCTCTGTGCATTGTCAAATTATTTTCTGAAGTCTAATAAGGTGTCTGCAACTCTTCTCACTGTTCCGTCGTCTGTCGTTCTGGTCTGTTAGCCTGATGCATCCACTCATTTCCCCAGGGCAGTGAGCTCATTTGGAAGGTTCCCTCTGCCCGCAGCTCACATGTCTCTCTCTCCAATTAGTTGTTCTTTTCACTACTGCCGTATTACTATAGCCAAACACATTCTTTCTCTCTCTCTCTCACTCTTTGGCTCTCTCTTTCTCTGTCCTATTACTTTATTTGGTGTTCTTCATCTCATATTTCGCTGCCCATTTCAACATAGAAGGCCTACGTTTTTCATAAAGCATTGTTGAACAATGTCTAATTGGATGGCCCATTTCACCATGTGACATGTGACTGCCCATAGAAAAAACTCCAAAGGGAGATTCATTTTTATATACGGTACAATGAGTGTTCCCATGTAGAAACTTCTAACGGTGGGAACAAAGAATGCAGACATCCATAATAGGTGATTAGAAATTAACTGGGAATTAATGATAAATTGTGTCATGAGTAGTTCTTGTTAAGGCTATTATTTATCATACACTTTTTCAGAACCCCTAACCTTAAAGGGATACTCCACTTTTTTTTTTTTTTTTTGGAAAAGGCTCGTTTTACCTCTCCCCCAGAGTTAAACAGTTGGGTTTTACCATTTTCGAATCCATTCAGCCCATTTTCTGATATTTAGAAGAATATCAGTAACCAGACAGTTTCTGGCCCCATTGACTTTCATAGTAGGAAAAAAATATACTATGGAAGTCAATGAGACCAGAAACTGTCTGGTTACTGATATTCTTCTAAATATCGTAAAATTGAATGAATACATCCGAAAATGGTTAAACCCAACTGTTTAACTCTGGGGGAGTGGTAAAATGAGCCTATTTCCAAAATAAAGTGGAGTATCCCTTTAAGTATTACTTTTCAAATCATTGAGACACCAGAATATAAAACATTATTCAGAGTGGAAGGTTTTCACTTGAGCCAGTAAACAACCACCTAGAACACCCTAGCAACTGCATTGTAACACCCTAGAAACCACTCAGAACCTCCTGGAAACTGCAATGCGGCAACCGAAAATCTTAGCAACGAGCACCACTAACATTTTCGTTTACAGAAAATGCTTATTTAAATATGCTGTATATTGATCTCTCTTTTTGTAACTCTCAGAGTCTGAATCTGTAATTGCTTTCAATCCTTTCAGTTATTTTGTACTCCACAGTGTTTTTTTCTCAGTATCTCCCAACCTGTTTGTTTTTTTGTTTTGTTTTTTGGTCTGGATCAAATTCTTGGACTCTCAGTCCATTCAACCTTTTACCCAGAATTTGAATTTCCTTTCTCTAGGACACTTCTTTCCTCCTTCCATAATTGCCCAATCCGCCCTTCATCACCCACAAATGTTCTGTATTGACGAGTCCATGGTCTGTCTATAGTTGCTATGACAACCACACTTTTGCACATCTCTCTGCCTCCTTTCGCTTATGGAATATTTCCCCCTCCATTTCATTGATACGGCAGAGCTCAAGAGCTTGCCAGCAACCATCTGGCTCTGCGCCATTGACTTCTACCTGGTTCTCTCTTAATTGTTTACAGCCTTATTACTAGTAAGGCGATAGCTACTTAAATTTGACTACATTTTACAAGTAAAACTGTTCTCAGTTCAGCTGGAATTCTATCCAGTTCCACTTCAAACAATGCATACTGTTTAATGATAATGGCATTGGGTGTATAGATGGTTTGTGAGGTGGACAGATGGCTGATGTTTGGGTAAAATGCATCTCTCCCTTGCCTAAATTTAGCCAGTTTGTTATTCATATTCAGTTTTTTGTTTTGTTTGTTTTTTTCCTGGATAGTTGAGTTATCACAGAGAAAAATATTGCTCAATTGTTGTGATGCACACTAGTGTTTCAAATATCAAATTCATCACAAATATTTCTCTTAATTTTTTTTAGATGAAATAAAAATATGCACAATTTTTTTAGGTCTTAGAAGAATTATTTTCATGAATAATGAAAATTTGTGGACTGTTGAGGGGTGTTATTGTTACCTAAAACTAACCCTAATTAAAAGTAATTTTCAGTAATGGAAATAAAGTTAAATTAAAAGTTTAAATTAAACCTTTAACTTAATGTCATAAGCTACCTTGACAATAATTGTTTAAATTGAAGTATTAAAATGACTAAAACTGAAATAAAAAAGCAACAATAATAATAATAAATGACAAAAGCACGTAACAAAATTAATAAAATGGAAATGTAGAAAATTATAATTATAATAATAAGTACTATGCTAGTAAATGAATAAAACAAAATAACGTTGCTGTTTAGATCTATTCTCAAGCTCGCGAGAACAACGTAGAATACTGGAGTAAAATGAGAAGCGGGAGGCAATTTGTCTCAATACCAATTTAATCTCATTGCTTTTTTAGGGATCTGTTGTCCCATGTGTGCAGATCCTCTTTTCACTGCACCACATGGGCAAATAGTTCAGATTGGAGCAAGCAGTTATCGGATCAGATTCTTATTCAAACAAATACTAAATGCATAAATGTAAATACAGTGTTGACAAATGGCAGACAGACCTACATTTTGAATAATCACATGTCAGTGTGAGCTTTCTGAACAGTCCCTCATGCACATATTCACATACCAACATTACAGCAGCTGATATATGTACATATTTACCCAGTTAAATACCTGTCCCTAAAGACTGCTGGGAAACAGCAGTACTAAAACCGTTCTCTCACAAGATTCTCACACATGTGGGGTGGTTGTAATCATGACTGAGTGGCACGGAGGGGTAATAAAGCATGCCATTATGTAATTTAGTATCTTTGTTTGTGTTGTTCTCTGGTGTGTTTGTGTTCTCGGAGTTATGGGAAGTTGGAAACTCTAGCAGAAAACTTAAATAAAAAACACTACTTTTTTAAACTGGTCTTTCAAAAAAAAGACTTAGCTCACTTTTGGGTCCCCAACATATAGTACTGACACGCGAGTGGTAGGATTGATACTCAGCAAGTAATACCAATACCGTCTGCAAATTGCATCATCATTTGTACTTATGCTAATGACAAGACAGTTGATTGACATTATTGAAGTTTTACTGCCGTTTGAGAACAAAGGATTCTGTGTTTATTTCATAACTGCATGTATACAGTATAAGTCTCTTATTCTCATCAATACTGCATTTATTTGATTAACAAAAAACTGTTCTGTATAATATATTTTAAAATGTAATGTATATAAATTCTTAATGTTTCTAGAAATCATGATACATTTGTTCAGGATTCTTTGATTAATAGGAACTTCAAAAGAACAGAATTTATTCAAAATAAAAATAGAAATGCCTTTACAGTCTCTATTGATCCGTTTGATGCCTATTTTTGCTGCATAGAAGTTATTCATTCTCTTTGAAAAACAGTTAAATGTTAATGCGAATAGGACACCATTCAGCATTTATATATATAATATAATATAATCCTATTATTTAGTTGTAATGCTAGTATGTAATTTCTGCACTTCCTCTCTTCCAGATGAATCTGATTTCGGGATCATTTCACGATGGAGTCATGCTGTATTCTCATGCCCTAAACGAGAGTCTGGATCAGTCGGGTGTGAGGCCCCCAAGGGACGTGGTCAATAAGAGGATGTGGAATCGCACATACCATGGTGAGTTCTGCTCAAATTTACCTACAGTATCATATAGACCGATTTTGGGCTAAATGACAAAATAGTCTGGTATACACTGCATCTTATTCTGAACAGGAAGAGACTGTTTGACCAATACTGTATGTAAAATGACCACTTTTTCACTTTCGTTCTACCAGAAAGACTTATTATAAGTATTTATTTATTAACAGTCCAGCAAGCAAGTATTATGATATAAAGTTATTTGGCAGCGGCGCAGCCGACCCCATTGGAGGTATGGGAAGGGACCATCCTGGTGGTGGTGGGGAGAATGAATGTGAATAACGGCGTCAGCATCTACAAACTCAGACAGGTGTAAATATGTATTGTGAAAAGCGCTATATAAATAAATGTGACTTAAATACCAATCTTTTATATTACAAGTATTAGAACACTATTGGATACAATCAAGAACTTTCACTCAAACTATTTTTTTTTGTTTGTTTTGCTTTGCTTTTTGTTTTGTACTTTGTTTTAGTCTTTACTTTGTGTTTTGTTCTGTTTAGTTTATATGGAAGCTTGTTTTCACCGAAGAATAACACATAAAAAGATAATTGCAAGCAACTTTTCTGATTTTACATCTCACAATTCTCAAAAGACTTTTTTCTTAGAATTGCGAGAAACAAACTTGCAATTCTGACTTTTTTCTTGCAATTGTGAAGTTAAACTGTACTCAGGATTGTATTATAAACTCACATTTATAAGCATTACGTTAGATTTTCATTTAGCACTGGAAGAATAGATCTACAGTATTTTATATCCATTTTTAATGGCTACGCAAACATGGTAGTGCAGCAAAAGGTGATATACCATTCAAAAGTAAATTAATAAATGAGTAAGGTAGGCTGTTGTACTGAGCCCCTCTCATGACATGAAGAAAAAAATATATTGTAATATACAAATTAACATTTCGTTACCAACCTCCCATGAATGAAGAATTCGTTCTCTCATTTAGGGTGGCCACAAAAGATCGTTTCCACAAATTCTTAAATCGTGGTGAACTAATTCGTAGGCTACTCTCGTTTTAGGAAACAAATTATTACTACGTGGTCACGATTTACTAAACCATGGATGGAAATATTATATTGTTCGTTTAAATATAGTGATATAAATAAATAAATATTAAAATAAAAAATTCAATAATATGTTCAACCTGAACTGGGTAACAGTATGGGTCAACAAACAATGTTTCAAGTCTGATAAATGGATTAGCTCGAACGGGGCACTTTTTATGGCTTCCAAAACCGTCGAAAGGTCCCACATAGGGACTGAAGGGGGTCTGGGAGGATTTGGCCTTTCAGCTCCCTTAAGGAAAGTGGATGACCAGATCGTTCTTCCCGCTGCTATGGCCGTCACATAAACCTTGAGCGTGGATGGGGTTCTGCTCTTATCCAGTAGCATATGAAGGAAGGAGAGACCGATGAATGATGAGGATGATGACAGGTAACAGGTGAAAATGATTAACAAGAAAACACATGGTGCACAAACTGAAGGCAAAACAAAGTCCTTGGCAGGTGTCACAGTGACAGTAATGACTACCCACTCTCACAATGAAACACAGACAGTGGGCTCCTCTGCTGTCGTGAGAAAATCAAAGCATTATTGCATATTCAGTCATTGATATGCGATTGAGAGAAATCCAAAAGTTCACAGCCGAATAAACTCATGCTTTACTTCAGAATCCTATTTAAATTGTTTGTGACTGAATGATCCTCCCACTGCTCTTTGTTTGGGCTCAATATGTCCCCAATTTAAACGCAAATGCCGTCAAGCTTCTCGAATTGCCTGTTCCCCTGTTCCAACACTCCTCACCCCTGAAATACCCATTATCTTCTCTCTCTCTCTGTCTCTCTCTCTCCCTCTGATGACCCGCTATACATAAATCCAATCTCACAATATTTACCACAGACAAATTCAATCACCCTGGCCTTTCTCCCTACTACATATCAATTCGTAAAAGCAGAACACACCAGCACCCAAAACACCAATAACTCCTTCAGGGCACTGCTAAACTCAAAATGAACGTGCTAGCTCTCTCTTTTGTTGCTTGTATGATGTTGGAACTCCTCATAGAAATTTTTAATACTTTGTGGATGTGAAAATAAATTTGTAGATGACATTTTTGAGTCACTCAAGGCCAATTACTTCCTTTAGCAACTCTTAACACCCGAACATTGTGGAGGGAATGCTAAAGTGTCATGAAACCCCCCTGTTTTAGCAATATTCATTCACAAGTCGTTGTGTATAAGGTGAGAATAGGGGAGATTGTCCAACCATTGTCATCATTGTCCAACTTATTTTTCAATGCGGAAGTAAAGTGTTTTTTGTGAATGTGTTTAATTTATTAGCCGCTATGGGGAAATAATAAGAAGAATATCAAACTGCAGTAAACTGTCTAAACTACCTGCGCTACAAAGCGAGTTTATAATTAAGATAATATGGTAAGAAATATTAGTTTGCAATATCAAGCGAATGACACTGCCCGCGCCTGTAATTACCTAAAAAATAAGGTGGATACAGACAAATTAATATTAAAATGTGAGCAGAGAAAATAAAAAAAGTTGTGAGTAACTTTATGTATTTTAAACATTACCCTATAACAACAAATTCACAAAACTTGGAGACTATAGTCTGAAAACAAATGAAGCATGTGTCTTGTAATTTTCATAAATAAAAAATATATATTGTGTATATTTTATTAAGGAAATTGTGGTTCAGTGTTCGGGTTAGAAAACCCTATAGAAAATATTGAGAACATTTCACTAATAAAACCAAGAGATTAAGCTTATAAAATGAAGGAAAAGGGCTACCCATTTATTTGAAGAAAATTAGCTCAATTATGCGGTTTTATTTAGAGACACCATTGTTAGTTCCCAGGGTGCTTTGCACATGGCTGGTAATGGAGAGGAAATATTATAAATTGAATATTGAAATATTGAAAAGTGTTATTTTATGTGTTTTTGAGTAAAGGGAAACATCTGTTAATGTTTAATGTTTAGTTATGTTTGACATTTGAAAGAACTTTTAAACGTGCAGAAGAGCAGGGCTTATAGTTAGGTTGTGAATGACTGCATGGTTTAGTAGTTTGAAGCATGTTGCTTTGTTCATTGAGCAAAAACTTAAGCAACACGTTTGGTTATGTGCTGTGCTAGTGGCATACAGTCTTTTAATAAAGCAATATAACTTTAGGTCAAATAAACAGGTAATTTTCATTCACTTTAATTCACACACTCTTGAGCAAGTTTCAATTACATAGAAGCCTATGGAGGAGTGATCCAGCTCTCAGATTTCATCAAAAATATCTTAATTTGTGTTACGAAGATGAACGAAAGTCTTACGGGGTTGGAACAACATGAGGGCGAGTAATTACTGACAGAATTTTTCATTTTGGGTGAACTAACCCTTTAAGTACAGTGAAGTAAATGGCAATTAATTAATTTCTGAAACAGAAACCTTTCTTATGCTTAATATTTTTCACACACATTATAAATGGGACTTTATGCATTAAAACATATAATTGGCTTTATTTGTTAGGAAGGGTGTCTATTAAGACCATCATTATATGTGGATGTCCTTGGCATCTAAAAGCCCTGCAATCATGATGATTAACCTAGTCACTAGTCAATTTGTATATGGACTAAAGAATCTGGAGAAAAATGACACAAAGCTGTTCTAATTGCATACATTTAGTATTTATTTCATTTCCATCACCCACTCGCTCTCATCGAATCCATGCTATCCTCTTTTCTACATTTCCTTGTTTCTGTCCTTCATCATGTGAGGTGTATTAATGCAGGTGTGTGTGGGTAGAACAAGGTATCTATCCATAAAACCAAACACGGTCATCTGGGAGGGCGGTTTTGTCCTTTAACATCTGTGTCCTCCTCTCAGAGGTTGTCATCTGCAGCCCCGCTCTGTCTGTTTTTATTTCCCTATCTATTTCCTTCCCTTCTTGTTCACGCTTTCCACTTACACTGCTTTCCTTGACCTTTGTGCTCCCTCTTCCTCTTTCACAAAAGTGCCAGAGGATGTTGACAGGTCTATGTTCTCACTCCATGTTTCATAATTTCATCCTGTGTCTTCCACATGGACGTTCTACGTTCAGTCTCCTGCATTTTTCTTTAGCCTTCTTCATTTGGTTCTAGACATTTCATTCACATGGGTGTCTCACGATCTCAGAGTGTCCCTTTATTCTCTTTTTGGTTACCATACAACATTAGTTTGACCACCTGCCTGGCAGAAACCTTTGAATTTAGGAGCTGCGGTTCTGGCATGGACTCAAAATTGAGATATTTATATTTGTGAATTTGAGAGACACTTTTATCCATTTCCATGCTGAAAGCAAACAATTTGCTGTTACTGAAAGCCTTTAAACTGATTACCTTGTAGCAACTTTTTTACAGGTTCACAGGCAATGCACTTCTCTTATACATGGAGTTGCTCTTTTTTGAGCGTTACAAATAATAGCAAAAAAATGATAATAAAAAGGTAGAACATACTTATCATCAATCGCTTTTTCCTGCACAGGGCGGCATTCACATATAGTGCCTAAAAACGAGTTTTTCCAAAGCAGTAGGGGGCGGTTGCGCTCCGGTTGGTTCTTGTCACATGAGCTACGGTGCACTTATGGTGCGCTTGCGGCATTCTAACTTTATGTTTTTATCTCGATGCGGCATGGACGCACTTTGAATAAACAACATTTCACTAATCTCAGGTAGAACATTCAAACATTTGTCATTTTTCCTTAAAATAAATATCTGAATAGAAATATATATTTCATAGTATCTGTATGTGCTAGTGGGGGATATTGTTTCAAATCTTGAAACAGGTTTGTGTTTCCTGAGAGTCAGCTCAGTTTGCAGGATCCAAGATCCAAGATGTCCATGTCTTTCTTTCCTCAGTCGAAAAGAAATGAAGGTTTTTGATGAAAACAATCCAGCATTTTTCTCCATATAATGGACTTTACTGGGAACCAAACGGTC